AAGTTAACGCTAACTTAATTGATCCTTTATGAATATAAACATCACTGCGCGCAGGATGATGGGCAAACAGCGTCTTCTGTCAGTCTCAGGCGGAGAGTGGCGCCAAGTGGTCATCGCCCACAATTGACGTTTAAATATTCCCATTTCAAAGCATTTATTCAACAAAAGGTAATTTATTTGTGATTACATAATATTCATTGCATAAAGAATGTAATACTGTGAGAAGCATAAATTAAATAGAAATGTACATTTTCGCTGCTCTATTTGTCTCCCCACCCAAGCGGCAGTCTCTTAGTTAGCTTGCCCACTGTCCATTTTCAAGCGCAGTGGGCACACCTAGCAAACTTACTGAAATCTCACTGAAACAAATGGTGGGAGGGTCTCTGTCGTGATCGGGGGTGAAAGAGGGGGAAATGAAGATGACACAGATATATATTTTATGCGGCGATCGGCGGTAAAAGGCAATCTGTACGGAACATCGCCGAGTACGGAACATGGTTAGTCTACGTTACGTGATTTGGCTCTTCTTGTTGATTTCATTTTTTTATTTCTTCGCAGTGTCCCAAACACATCTACATCCATTATTGGTACGCAGAAAGCAGAAACTTGAATACCGGTACGCTAGCGAGAGATTGTACAGTAGTTCACGTTGACCAAAACACACAAGAAAAAACGTTTTGGAAAAAACATTTTCGGCAATCACAGACATTCGCATTCTTACGGGATTAGATTTCTCTGAGGACCGCCGAGTGTTTGCCGAAAAACAGTAGGTAATTTGCTCTGGAATTTTTACAGAGATCATGTGAGAAAAAGACAGACATGGCAGATTCGGATGGGATTAAAATCTCAAAGTACGTCTGTGAAACAGACATTTCTCTAATGTCCCCCTGTGAAACTAGTCCCGTCCGAATAGGGCTAAACACTCCAGATAAAGCCCGATTCGGAAGGTAATTGTTTCTCATACGGACGTCTGTAAAAATAAATTTACATATCACCGCAGTGATAAAACTCATGGATTCGGTTGGTGATTTATTCACAGTGGAGGAGCAAGTTCTGTGATCCTACGAACCCGGGAAAGCGCTGCTCACGTGGCCAGTCACATGATTGTCTGCTGAAAATAAAATGAAAATTTATTCTTATTATTGTATAAAATGTATTTTAAAATACTTATTATTATGTAAAATGTATTCTTATTATTCCAAGCATATTTTATAATATATAATCCTATTTATTATTTGATTATTTAAATCTCCTGTTTAAAAATAGGAAAATAGACGCGCTATAGTTGTGTATATATCCGTTTATAATACACATTGTAAAATTGTATTGCATACCTGCTGCTGCCATAATAAAGACCCATTTCGAATGTTTACGTGCTTTTCTTCACTTTCTGCTCCCAGTCGCTGTGGTGGAGCAGTTATGAAGCATATTGTTCTTTTAAATACTTTCCAGCATTTCGGAAATAATATGTATGCAAATTACACCGAAGTACAACAGTTACCGTACGGTGTTTCGGAGTGTTCGGACGGCAATTAAATTACCACACGACCTTGGTGTTTGTCAAAAAACAGTAGGTAATTTGGCCGGCGATTTTTACGGGGGTGGTGAGAGATAAACACCGACATTCTGGATACTGATGGCAATTAAATCACCGACTACCCCCTGTAAATGGTGAAAATCGCTTACGTCCCCATGAGAACAATTACAATTACCGTTCGAATAGGGCTTAAGACAACCCCAGGCTGCTTCAGGTCCACCACCCGCTGATAATTCCAACGTGCCACACCAGTCATAACTCAGGAGAGATGCGATTGCCCGTTACCCACTGAGCCTGGTGGAAATGAAACCCATCCTGCTGTGAAGTTCCTCTGACAGGGATCCAAATGGACACAGCAGCTCCATCACCCTTGACATGATTCAGCTGTAGGGTTCCACCTTGTCTGTAGAAGATTCCTTCCTCCACCTCAGGGTCACTCAGGCAGCCTCTAAAGATGTGGATACGCTGAATCCACCACACCAGGGCTGGCCCGTGGCATAGGCGACTTATGGCGCTTTTCCACTGCATGGTACGGCACGGTACGGCTCGGTACGGTTCACTTTTGGGGGGTTTTCCACTGGGTACAGTACCTGGTACCTGGTACTTTTTTTAGTACCACCTCGGTTGGGGTTCCAAGCGAACCGTACCGTTACCAAAACGTGACGTGTAAACTCTGCTGATCACGGATTGGCCGGAGAGAATCGTCACTACCTGCGTCACTGAACTTGCGACACAAACACAAAAGAACCGCTAGATTTAAATCAGCACAGCCAGCGAAGGATCGAACGCAACTGTTTTGAACAAGCGCACCTTTTTTATAACAACCAAAACGGCTGTTCCCCCTGTTGAGGAAGAACAGACGTTCCTCTCGTTGATAACAGAGGAGCGGATCCAGCCCGTGCCGAGCCGAGTCGTACCACGCAGTGGAAAAGCGCCAATAGGCAGTTGCTTAGGGCGCAAAATGACTGGGGGGGGGTCCGCACGAAAGTTTTCTCCCTCTTGTGACCATTGTGCGCTCTTATACCCATATATTAAGCAAATACTGACAATTAAAATGTTTGTACTGATCGATCATCGAACTGATTTGACAACATGTCATGTTGGACTAATTTAAAATATATATATATATATATGTTATGGTTGGTGGGGGGGGGGATCTAACTCGCCTAGGGCACCAACAGAGCCTGGGCCGGCCCTGCACCACACATTTAACATTGAAGGTTTAAAAAGGAAGATGTTATTGGGATCCTTTGCCAGA